GGTATTAACCACAGACGGAAACCCTATTCATCTTGCCACTTGTCTAATTATAAAGAAACAAACAGTGAGTATGCATTATCATGACGAGTGGGTCAATTCTGTTGTTGTGTCGTATAATTTGATATACATGAATTCATTGGAAACCTTCTTCTCTCTATTTAGATTGAATTCTCTTTAAGGAGCCTTGGTGATGTGTATGTGCCCCTCTCCTTGAATGCATCTTGTAAATCTCTTGGAACTTAATGCTGTGTCATGTTCTGACTTAGATGCTTCATATTCTTGCAGATGGAGTTTTTGGAGCAATGATGAAGGTAAGCTTATGTCCGTTCAATTTCTTCGTGATGATGCATGTGTTGGGTGTTAATGTCTAATGGCTACATACGTTTAACTGACCCCTCTTGTAACGGTGAGAAGGTCAGTTTGGTTAATGTTGGACCAGTAACAATGCAGCTTGATTTACAATCTACGAAGTGAGTAGAATCTTGGTTAAAAATGTTTGTGTCTGGGATTATAAAAATAACAACTCCATTGACGATTCCATCACATTCAGGAATTCAGTTGATGCCACAGAATCTTGATGAAGTGGTTGGCCTGCTTTCATGAAAAAAGGTATGAATTTTGACCCTTAAACTATGAAGTAGAGTTAGGATCCTTTTTTGCCAAACTAATAATATTTTTTCCTTATCTCTAAGAAGAGCATCAATTTCTTCCTTTGGTAGATTTCTTGATTTTGGGCTTTGCCTTCTGGCATTAGCATGGAGTCATATTCCAATGAGCTGTATTGTGCAAACCCAGAATTCCGAAGTCTCTGTCATGAAATCTGCTTATAGCTGTACCCTTCTGTTACACCTGAACAACAGGACAAGACAGCGGTTGAAGTTATAATGAGAACTTCATCCAACTTTAGATAAATCATCATTGATAAAGTTATTACTTTTCATCCCTTCTATATGGTAATATAACATTATAAATCCTGGGTTTAGGCTGATCAGTGCCTTTTCATTTGTTATCTTTGGATTTTGGATGTTCCAACTTTCAAGCTGCTCAAAATGCTAAGTAACTTTAGTTTCTCTGTTGACATCGTCAGAAATATTGTAAAACCTTGGAAAATATCAGGACTGAATCCAAAATGAGAGAGGGGAAGCTTTGCTTTTCATATACTTTGACGAAGACTAGCTGCAGCATAAATAGGAAACCTTTGAAGGTGGAGAAAGTATAAAATGGAATGAAGCAAGTAATTTTGCGGATGAAAAATATTCTTTATATCTGAAAAGCAGATAATAAATACAATCACTTTTTTTTTTAAGGCACGAGAAAGTTGTTGATAGTAGGGCTAATTTGCTTTGGGTACCCTGGGCAAAGAGTAAGATCTCTTCTAATTAGGTTTTTACAAATATAAGGATTGAAATTTGAATTCTAATCAATTGAATTGATTAAGTGATGAGAGTCTCTACCATATGTCAACCTGATTTGACACATCCCTTTTAAGTGATAGTTATGGAAATATAACAAGCATCATATATCTTTTAATGTTATTAATGCAAGCAGTTTTTATAGTGGTAGATCCTCTTCTCTATGCAGCCGTCATTTTGCTCACTTTGTTTTTCTCTCTTCTAGTTTACCATACTTCTGCTTTATGTTCTAAAATCCCAGATCAGTTTAGAAAGAGTTTGCCAATGGAGTCTCTGATGTGGCAAAAAAATTCTTAATGAAAGTGTGAGCACAAACTGTTGAGACTAATGAAATATAAAGGGGAAAAATAAAAGATCAGTCCCAAATAAAGAATTTAATCAGTAATGAATCCAATCTGTGGCAAAATGTTACCAGATGACGTGATACCACAAGTTGACCTACAAAAAGTGGGCTTATTAGTAATTAAAGTGTTTATTTGGGCTCTTCTGTTATTTTTCCAACATAAAATTACAAGAGAATAATAAAAAATGAAATGCCTTATTTCCGCAGCAGGGAGTACATAGGGCTTCTTTTAATATTTTTTTCCATTAAAATACAACCAAACCACTCCTACAAGGTTGGGCCGAGAAGACGTAGTGATGGGTTATCAGTGGGCATGTCAAGAATCCCAGAACACATACTTTGAAGGATTAGGTTCACACAGGTGATTTTTTTTTTTTTTAAATATTAAGGCAAGCCTAAGCTTGATAGCAGGAGTACAAAGACAAATTTAGTTCACCATAAGATTGGCAGGTACTTCAGACACAGGTGATTTTTCATTACACAAAAACGATGTTTCGATGTACCCGCTACCACAACATCCATTATTTACCACATCAGCCCTACAGCCCTATCCGAATATCACAACAAAACCAAAATATATATATATATATATATCGAGACTTGTTTGGAAAACTTCATGTATATCTTTGAATTTAATAGTTTGAAGAATGAATTTCATGATTTATGACTTATAAATAAAGATTAAGGTTTATTTGTACAGCTGAACTTTTTTCTTTTTGGAGCATTGTGGATCTTGTGTGTTGATAAATAGAGCAATTTTCTTATTGAACTATTTACCAGACAAACAAAAGATCCTTTTTGTTAATTATTTGATAACTTTGTTGTTTTTTATTGACATAACATGTGCATGGCCCAAGCTTAAAACTAGTTATCAATAATTTTTTGTAAGACTAACTTGAGTGTTAATAATTAAAAAATAATTTATAAAGTTTAGATGAATGTTTATAAGTAATAATATTTATTAAATCTTATTTGAACAAGACCTTAAAATGTGCAATGCTCTTGAAAGAGTTTAGGAATAAATTAACATTAAAAAACATTATCAAAGTGTTTTCATTGTATATGGGTTTCACGCATATGTCACGTCAGTCAATAATAACAATGTTAAGGGATGACTAATGAAAGGAATTTTTGCTCTTTGAAAAAATAATTTAGGAGGAAAAATTTTTCACTTACTAGTGCAGGGTGTCTAACGCTCTTTGATAAACGTTCAAGGATGAAAACATACCTTACGCATATAAATAAAATAATTTTTAGTAATATGACTAGTGTGTGTATAAATATAATATTGATATATTTTTCATTCAAATAATTCAATTTAATTTTTCAAATCAGTGATTATGATTTAAAAAACATGAGATTGAACTTGTATAATTATTTTTTCAATTATACCTTTATTTAATAATTACATCCATAATCATAATTAAGAACCATCTCAGCTAACTAGCTATTTTACTCTCTCTTTCTGTCACGCCTCAAAAATAGAGAGTGACCGGCACGAGTGTGAACTACATCGCACATTCCCGTAAACCATAAAATGAAAATTCATTTCGTTTTCAAAAAAATTAATAAGATTATATAGAAATTCTAACATTTTTAATATTAATTATCATAACAAGGCTTCAACTTTTTTTTTAAAATTTTGACAGAACCACTTATATAAATAAAATCTTCCAAAAATTCTATAACAAAGTTTTCACAAAATACATTATCAATTACGAGCTTAGCTCCTTATAACTAGCAGCAGTATATAAATCAAAATAAAGTCCTAACAACAATCCATGTGGAGTAGCTAATCTTTCTTTTAAATTTTAAAATGCATGAATCCTAAAATATTTACATAAAAAGGTAACAATACCAAACAAAATTTTCACCTAATATAACTATATTTTCCTTTGGAGGTCGGTAGTAGGGTTAGCGTCAATTAACGAATAAATTTTTTAGTAAATAGCATTCTCAAAATAAAGTTTAAAAGAATTAAAATAATAAATCCAAATAATAGTGTAAACTAATTGAAAAGATGATAATTCGTCACAATAAACTTATAAGTTTATAAATCATAATTGTAATCGTAAAATAAGAGTAAATTGAAAACAATTTATTTTATCATGCTTAAAGAAAGCGATTTATTCTCACGTAAATTAAAGCAATAACACTTGCTAACCAAAATTATTGAAATTTCAAAAATACATATTAATCAAAATTTAGAATTATGAGAACTCAACAAAACAAGTAACAAATGTGGATATATAGTTTACAAGGGTAAATAACTAAACACAGCTTATGCTACGAAGATAAATATAGATACACAATTCATGAGGGTAAATAAGTAAATGCAGCCAAAGCTATGAAACAAATGTGGAAACACAGTCCACGAGGGTAATACTAACCAAACACAACTCAAGACCATGAAATCAAACGCAAGTATAAAGTCTGTGAATAACAAATGTGAGATCAAAACCCACGAGGCAAACTAGCTAATTTTTAATCACAACGTGCTACGAGCTAATAGAACTATCGTTAACAGCAATGTTTTGTTTAAAGTCTTCTTAAAAATCACGTTTCAAACATGCAAGAAAAATAATCACTTCAAAAATTCAATTTATATTTTCAATACCCAACTCACATGAATCATTTCAAATGCCAATTTAATACTTGTCGAAAATAATATTTCATAAATAATATACAAGCTTGCGTTAATTAAATAATTATAAATTTTTAGAGTTTAATAAATAAAAATAATTTCATAAATATTTGAATTATATTTCTTGAGGAAATAAATGTACATATCATTATCTAATTATCCATCATCACTATTCCATAATTTCCAAAGATTGTATACATTCATTCATATTTATATTCTATCATTGTAAACTCTATATAGATTTATCTTAATGGTTTTGGTTTTTTCTATGGATGAACTCTCTTTGTGCATGTTCCACACCAACTTATTTATTGTAACACAATTCTCCTATTACTTCAATGAAATCTCTTACACATGAGCTTAAACCTTACAATTGATAATGAAAGTAAAAGCTCCAATAATGCCATCATTATGCTTATAAATTGTATTTAATTTTTTTAAAAAATACAATTATCAGTTCTTATAGTTTCATTAGGTTTTGAAACCTATTTTCATACCCTAATCAAAGCCCCATAATGGTAGGCACTATTATTTTAAAGCATTGTAATGGCAAGTACCCTCAAAGCCCAGTACCGGCCGGCACCCTTCTTAAAGCCCTGTAACGGTAGGTACTATTCTTTTAAAGCCCAGTACCGGCGGCACCCTTAAAGCCCAGTACTAGCTGGAACCCCTCTTAAAGCCCTGTAACGGCAAGCACGTTCAAAGCCTAGTACGGGTTGGTACTTAGGTACCCTCAAAGACTAGTATCGGCTAGCACCCCTTTTAAAGCCCTATAACAGCAAGCACTATTGTTTTAAAGCCCAGTACTGGCTGGTACTATTCTTTTAAAGCCCTGTAATGGCAGGCACCCTCAAAGACTAGTATCAGTTGGCACCCCTTTTAAAGCCTTGTAGTGGTAGGAACTATTATTTTAAAGCTCAGTATTGGCTGGTATTATTTTTTTAAAACCCTATAACAGCTAGCACCCTTAAAGCCCAATATTAGCTTGCATTATTCTTTTAAAGATTTGTAATAGCAGGCATTATTCTTTTAAAGCCCAGTATATGCTAGCAATATTCTATTAAAGCCCTGCAATAGCTAGCACTCTCAAAGCCTAGTATCAGCTTGCACTATTCTTTTAAAGACCTATAACAGCAAGCACCCTCAAAGCCCTATAACGGCAAGCACTATTCTTTTAAACCCTGTAACGGCAAGCATTATTCTTTTAAGGCTCTGTAATAGCAGGCACCCTTAAAGTCCAGTATCAATTGACACTATTCTTTTAAAGCCCTATAATGGCAGGTACTCTTAAAGCTTAGTACTAACTATCACTATTCTTTTAAAGCCTTGTAAAGGTGAGCATCCACCCAAGTCCTTTGAAGCATAAGCAATTTATTTTCATTAAGGTTTTGTTTTATTTATTTCCCAAACAAAATTTCATCTTCAAATATAAACCCTTTGTTTTGTTGTTACTTACGCGTCTTGCCCCTCCAAATAAAATACATGTTTCTTTCTTCATTCATTCTAAGATAAGAATATTATCTCATGAAATTCTCACTTAAAAATCAAATGAAGAAGGGCACTTAGTCAACATGTACTTTGTTTGGATTATTGTCAATTGTTTACAACATCATATCTATTTTATTTGATCATTTTCATTTGCATCACATCACCTCATCACATTGCTACAAAAACAAAAAATTAAAAAAATT